GCGATCCTCTCCGCTTGGACTGGCGGATACAGGCGGTCGTCCCGTCCGTGGGCCAAAGTCGGAGAGAGAAAGAGAAAGACAGAGGGGGGAGGGAGGCTGCTCTCCTCCGCTTTCGATGCTCGTCCCCGCCGTAAAAGGACTCGCTTCGAGGCCACGATCACTACCGCACCGGCTGAAAATGAAAGGAGAAACGTGTTAGCGATGCCTGTACGCATTGCAGCCGCGCTTTTTCCAAATCATCTCTCTTTTTCCATCCTGCCCTCTTCCACTTACCGATTTCAATACACCAACGGGTGTTATCAGTAATCAGAATCGTACCTTCTTTTTGTCTCTTTCGAGCGCTTTAAAAAAACCTTAATTCTTAACTCGTTGACTGCCGCGCCAACGAAATCTCTTTCAGGCTATGTGTACGAAGCTGGGTATTCCCATCGATATTTTAATGATAGCAAGAATAATTTGTTTTCATCATTTCGTTACATTCGTGAGATCCTAACTCACTCATTCTACAATTCGAATCTTTGTCGAGTAACGAATGGTACAACTGTTAAAATTTTTGCCCTAATTCGTTCCAGTGTCGAAAAGAAAAATGGAAGAATGAAAGAACTTTTTGTCTAAATTGTCCTGGCCAATCTCAGCTTTGTATAGCATGCTTTAAAGTTTTACATTCTAAATAATTTTTTTAATAAACGATTTTTGTATCAATTCGATAGTTTTATTACACCTTGTGGAATATCTTTCCAAATACGAAGATACCTACGAATATCTTCCAAATACCTTCATAAATGGTCAAATAAGTTAAATGCAGGTGGTCCTATGAGAACTTTTATTGTCACTCGAATATGGATGTCGTGTTAAAGGATAATTTGTCACTGGTAGGATATCGGATGTGGAGTCGATGTACTCGCGTGGTCCAACGATGCGTGGAATTTTGATGTGGGCAAAAATGTCGATCGAAGTATTCTTTTCTTCGTTTCCCTGTTGTTTCAAAAAAATCAATCCTTGAAAGGCGCTTTTCACATTAACACTCTACGTGCACGCGTATTTCGAACCCCTGTCTATGTAGAGACAAAAGAGCGGTGCATAAAGGCGAGAGATACGAATCGCAGTTGGTCGTTGAAAGGTTGCCAATTAACCGGGAGATATTTTTAAAACGGGAGAACCGGTGGTCGAATCGCGTTTATCGGTTTCCCCATCCGTTAGAAAATATCTCGCTCCGATATCGATACCTTTTCGAGAAGCCGCTATCATCCGTGGAACATTCGATTCCTGCAATTTGCGCGGGGATCTAGACAGGATAACGAGCAGGATGCTAACTTCATTAAAACGCATCGAGAAGTAATTAAACCGGCGATCCAGAAGTAACCGAATTGCAATGAATCGCGGCTAACAAGGCATTCTCCGCTCGTTGCATCGATCTCACGCGTGCACGATACATCATCATTCGCCCCCCATTCCCAACAAATTCTTCCCCCTCTTTTTCAATTTTTCCACGCGGAAAAAGTAAAATAAAATAAAGACTTTCGAATGGCCTTCCGCGCTTTTCTTTCTTCTCCCCTCCCTCCGGGGAGATAAAATAATGGTGGAAGCGAAAACCGCCTAAAGCCTGTCGTAAAACACTCTTGAACACGCTGGATCGGCGTTAGTTGGACAAGGATTTTTCCACGAGAATTTTCCATTTGAGAATCGTAATCGAAAACTCGAATCGTTTAAAGACTTTAACTTTTTTCCATCGCGTGAAAAAAAGAAAGGGGATTATTGAATTCGAAAGAGATAGAATGAATTGAATCAACTACACGATAGATAATTGGAGAGCGTAACTTACGTGAACTGATTCCAGATTAATGGCGCTATTTTGAAGGACCATCCTTCCGGCGGAGGGAAAAAGAACGAAGAGAGAATCTCACTAACCTTGGCAATAAGTGATACAAGTCTTCAACCACTTCGCATGCAAATCCGCCGGGCGAATATTCCAGTTCTACGAGGCGCGATTAATCTCGTTCCTCTGGTCGGCAAACTTCACGGATAACACCACGGCTACAGGAGTAGAAAATTCTGCTCGTTGATGAGGATTACGACACGCGCCAAGAAATTCTGCGCGAAATAACCGGAAGGCTCGTATTCCTTGCGAATATCGGCTCCGAACTTCTCTGCTTTATCTAGCAAGAATTCAAGGGACGAGTTGTTCGAAGCTGTTAGAATTTACTATATTACAGTGAAGGGAAATGGTTACCTTAAATATGTGGAAGGAAAGACGAACGAATTTATTGAAAAATAATTCTTCGTAATGGAATTGAAAAATTAATTAAGAGTTCGAACAAAGTTACTTTGAATAATGATAATAATCATTTGAAAATAAACTCGAATAACATTATTCGTAGCCATCACGGTTCATCACTCTTCACAGCCTCGGGGCTACGGTTAACCGCGGTTATTCGAAAGCTTTGAATAATAAATTATTCAAATAACTTTACTCTTTAACTTCCATCGTTAAAATTTTATCTCTGTTGCCGATTAAGCCTTTTACCGAATATTTTTATCCCGATCTTCGTCGAACAGTTACGCTTTCTTTCCAATTGTAACGAAAATTCTTGAAAATTTAAAGATTTTCTTCTTCACAGTAGAGCATTAACAGTATAATTCTTAGATAGATGAGTTAAATTCTCGAGCAACCGTGAAAAACCGTGAATATTCGTCGTGCCGATAAATCGGATGGAAAATGTTATTTCGAGTTCCTTGAACCGATCAGAAACGGATTCGAGTGTCGCGACCGAGCACGACTGTAGAATAATGGTAAGCATAAATTACGGTAAGAGAAACAATCAAAAGGGAGGATCGCGGCACGAGCGGCTCGGCGACCATGGAATCACGGTGGCCAACGATGATGCCTCTCTCCTTTTATCTCTACGCCTGTTCAACGGCCGTAGAGCAGGGAGGCTATTTTTAGGCGGAATAAAGCGTGCAACAACCGGACGAGAATTAAAAAGTTTCTCTAAGTTGGCTGGCCGTCCCGTTCCTCCTCGCGAAAGCGAGGATGGAAAAACAGTTTAACGAGGCTACAGTCGGCCGATTCGATAAAGGGACGACGAGCGACTCTCTGTTCGCTATAAACGGAGCGAGGTGGCGAGAAATTTTTGGCGAAAAAATTGCACCCGACCGGGACGGGGCTGGGATTGAAACTAAAATTGAAACTGAAATTAGACTTCCAGTGTCCACTCTCGATGGGATTTCACCGACCGAGGTATTAAATCGACAACTCTCAAAGTTTCGAGTATCGTTTTGCTCGCGAGTTTTGCTCAACCGAGCGTGAAATATTCTTTTGCAAAAATGCGTTCGAATTTTCTATTCTCCATCGATACCCCGCTGAAATTAAACACTGAATTAAATTTTAATGTTTGAGGCAAGGGATTGATAAATTGGTTTAATTGGTTAGTTTTCAAAAATTCTGGATATTTCGAACGATAAATCTCTCATTGTTAGATCGAATCGTATAAATATCGGAAATTTATTTAACCATAGAACGGGTAGGCACGATGAAATTAAACTGAATTAAATTTTAATCTTTCGGGTAAGCGGTTAATAAATTGGATTAATTCGTATTTTGAAAAATTCTGGATATTTTGAACGACATATCTTCCATTGTTACATCGAATCGTATGAAAATATTTAACACTCGTTCTATCGATTTT